CAACTAGGATCTGGTTAATTTAGTGAACAAGATAAATAAAGGGATATGCTATAATTAAATATGGTGATTATTTTAAAAAGCATTAAAACAAAGTCATTGACTTTTTTTTGTTTTGCAAGAGGATTAACATTGAGAACCATTGGTCCTACTTGTGCTATCCATCAACTGAATACTTCCACCCAGAAATAATAATTTTCTTTTGTTTAGCTGCCTTTCTATGGGGCACACAGTTGTTCCAGCCTTCACCCATGCAGCATGTTTACCCTGTTCCAGATAATAACATAGGGCTGGTACTTTTCATTTTAAATAACCTATTAAAATGTAATCCGATGAACTATTCCAGTATTTGGGATTCCTTTCCCCCTTCCCACTGATTGAACTGTAGACTTCCTTGGAAAGAAAAATATGCCCTAAGAAAGAGAAAGTTTAAATTTTGCCTCCAGGTCTTTTAGAGGAGGGATCTCCAACCTCTGCAACTTTAAGACTTGTGGGCTTCAACTCTCAGAATTCCTCAGCCAGCCATACTGAGAAATTCTGGGAGCTGAAGTCCACAAGTCTTAAAGTTGCGGAGGTTGGAGATCCCTGTATTAGAGCACTTTCCTATATCAATGCCTGTGATTGCTGAGAGGATCCGCTTTGTTCTTTGAAGTGCACAAATGTAACTAGTAACTCATTAGGTTAGCAGCTGAATTATACTACTGGGATTTTGTCAGGAGCTTTTACTTCCAGACAAAACTGAGGGATGTGACTGTCAGATTAATTTGTTTTAGGCTCTTCAGTTAACAGTTTTTGTGTCCCTGTGCATGTGGAAGAATAAGGCAGAATTCAGCTCGTCCTGTGTAGTCTTCTCTATCCATTTATCTGTTGCAGGGAGGGAAACATTTAGTTTTGGTTTTTTTTGACCAGGTGGTTGTTAACAAAACCTGTTTCAGTGTGCGAGACTTTGTCAGGTATTTAAGCGGATACCTTTAGACACATGGCTAATAGCTATTTTGATGGTGGAGTAAGGTTGCCAAAGCTTCTGTTTTGAGATCTTGAGCGAGACCCTTCCAAAGACAGAATAGAATAATTGTGTGTTGTGTTGATGGGCAATGGAAGAGTGATAACTTCCTTAGTGGGTTTCCTGGGGCTGTTGCTTGGAGGAAGGACCAGCATAGGTTTCTTTGAATGTGCTGTGTATACCGAGTTCGGAGCTTCCTTTCCTTTAGCTTTTGGCAGTCAGGAAACAGCAGTCAGCAAGATCCAAATTTAGCAGCTGCCTTCCTATCAGATTGGTTGGCCAAAGCCTGTATCTGTCTTCCTTGGGGAGCTATTTTGGTAATTTCAAAGATGGAGAACGGATGACAGTGCATCTGCTTTGGTAAGTCATTGAAACAGATCAGAGATGCCTCCATAATGAAAATGCTTTTGGCCAGATCCCTGCTTTGTTACTAGCTGGCCCAAACTGTGGCAAACTGCAGGAACCCAGACGTTCCATGAATGTATGTTATCCTCTACTACATTCACATAATGCAGGAGAACCTTTTCTCTCTTTCTCTCTTGAGAATAAGAGAGTCCATACGTCCTAATTGGAAATAATAGGTGGAGTTTAAATGGGAGTACAGCTAGAAACAAAAGTAGATGAAGCCATCTTTTTTTTTCTTGTTGATACTGTCTTATGATGGAATCTAGTAGCCCAGATTCCCATTCCAGATGAATAAAAGACAACTCATCCAGATATTTTATGTGAGAGAAAGAGGGTGAAGACCTAATAGTTCCCAGAGCATATGATCGATACAGATAGTCAGAGTGTTTAGTCTGGCAAGATTCTGTCTACAAGTGGGGAAACAACACAGAACTCAGCTTGGAAGAATCTCCACATGCCATTCTTGGTTCTTGGGTCTGAAACCCCCTTTTCCACTCTATTTCTTCCTCACTACAGATTGCTCTTTACAAAATTTACGGCTTACAGGAAGCATTTGCAATTAGTCAAGAGTTGTATAAAATTAAGTTAAGGGCCCCAAGTTGACAATACTTATCATTGACTATTATGATGCTGGGTGATTGACTATTACGATGCAGAATTGAGGAGGGAAACCCTGCTGCTAATGTTCCATTTACAGGGGAATGCTTCTATGGGAAGCCAAAATTATTTGCGAAGTTTTCAGGAGGAGCCTTTCAGATAATAGCATGAGCATTCCTTCTTCCATTTGACTTTAATTCTTTTGCTGATGGGGAACTTCTTGGAGGTCTCAGCCAAGCACAACTATGCTTAATTCATAGCATGTTCTGCAATCTCTTAGCAGGAAGTTACAGGCACTTCCTCCAGCATTGGACTAATGGGTCATTTGAGAATCAGATGTGCATCTGTTTCTTTCTTCCTCCTGGAAACTTTACTAAAGGCAATTCATTTACCAACAGTGGAGTGGTGATACCCTTAGATCAAGAGATTTATTATCCACTACAAATAGATAAGTCAGAAGATAGGCAATGTGGATTTAGAAAGGGCAGTGTAGGGGGACCAACAGCCCCTCTCTGAGGGAGATGAATGGTTAAGAAGTGTGAAAAACAACTAACTAAAAATACATTAGTTTAGGATGGGCTTCATTTAACATGGCCTCTTGTTTTTGCTCTCTCTTCCCCACCTTCTCTGCTTCCTGGGTTCTCAGCACATATCAAGTCATTGTGGAAGAAGACAGACCTAAGAAGATCAAGCGGGAGTTAAATGGCCCAGAATGCTTTCCTGTGCCACTCACTTTTGATGACGCCATGTCCCGTGGCTTGGTTCACTACTTTGGAGCGGAACTATCCCCAGGCAGCCTCACAGAAGCCAAACCCTTCATTGTAGGGGACAACCAAACCTATAATGGTTACTGGAATCCTCCACTGGAACCCAAGAAAGCCTATCTCATCTACTTCCAGGCTATGAGCAATCTCAAAGGGGTAAGTAGCGAGCTCTGGGTGTTGATTGGTACAACTCCATCTTTAAAATATATTTGTCTTTATGACTGTTTTCCTTAAGCTGACTGTGATTTCCTATCATGGTGAAATACCCAACAATATAGGTTCAACAGTCTTTTTGCAGTAGGTGTTTCCACCACTAGTTGAGCCATGAGATAGTTTCCTAACATTTAGGACTATAATTAAGGGGAGGAACACTTTCTTTGTATGGAGAGCATCCTAAATTGAGTTACTTCCATTTCCAGTTTAAAAAGACTAGCAAATTTTTAATCTCCAGACTTGGAGAAGCACTTGCCAGACAATATAGCTCAATGGATAAATAACTTAGCAGCCTCGTATGCTTGTAACGCAAGGGTCCCGTCTGTATGGGTGACTCATACATATTATTTATACATGATCTGGGCTGCCTGTGCAGGAACGTATGTATGTACACATGTTGTGCAGGCAGTGTGCAAATTGGAGGGGCTTAAATGAAAATCAAAAAGCAGCCCTCCAGACTTCGTCACATTTAGATATCCAAGATTGGCAATAGGACTCTGCGGTCGACTCTCATTCAGTATGAAATGGAATGATTGAATTCTAATTTCACAAGTTGAACACATTTAAAGATTCAGTTAAATTGTTTTTAAATCTTTTAGAAGCTGCAGGATCTCTGGCTGAGCACAGAATTTATATGCAGAAGCAATATCTCCAAACATACCCGCTCCAGTTAAAAACATCAGGAATGATGGGGAAAGCTGTTACTGTTTATTAGACTAGACAACATTTGGCATGATATATGGCCCATGTTCTTATCCTCAGCTTTGTTTAAAAGACATTAAATACAATCACATTCTTTTCTTTTCCTGCCAAATCAGATTTATCTCTATCTATCTATCAATCAATTAATCATGTTTCAGCATTGTACTATGCAGGTTTTATATAACTCTCTGATGGCAAGTAAGATCAATACTGAAATTAGATGTGAGGACACAAAAGATCACAAAACTATCCAAGGGAAGAAAGCCATCTGACAATGGAGCAATGTGATTTAGGGTGGGTTTTTTCCCCTTCCTTTTGTGCCTTCAAGTCAATATTTTTTTTTAATTCTTGGTGTCTGCCTGGACAAGTCTTGGGCAAGATTTCAGAAGAAGTTTGCCATTGCCTGCTTCCCATGGCTGAAAAAGAGTGATCTAAGGTGGAACTAGAACTCACAGTCTCCCAGTTTCTAGTTTGATGCCTTAACCACTACACCAAATGGATACACTCTGGATTTTACTTATGGTTCTAACTTAAACCTATTGTTTTTTATTTTTCTTATAAGTATCTATCTCATGTATTCAAAACTATATTTATTCTTATACCTGTATCTTGTAAGCGATTGACAAATCAAATAAATACTAAAAATACCATTTCCTTGCTTAGGCAAAAGGACAAAAAAATTGGAAATTCAGCAGTCTGGACAGATGGTCAACTTGTGTTTCCAAACCCTCTCTGTTTTCTCAATGTCCTTCACTGGACCCCACATCACCCTATTTGCATTCTTCAGATGCCATGCGAGGTGTGAGCCATTTGGAGTATATTCAGATGTGCCTGTGCCTCATTTAAACTAAAAAAGATACCAAAAGCTTGTTCTTAACCCTTGTTTGGTTTCAGGAGATTATCCTTGGGATTCATGTGGTTTCTTCCAAGCCCTAGATGGTAGTTACTGGAAGACTGCACTCATTTCATGGCCCAGCTTTAGGAGGAACAGAGAAGCTAGGGGGCTGTTTTTGAAAGAATTCAACTTTGCTCAGGATTCTTTCTAGTCTCTTCCTTGCAAATGCAGTCTGGTTCTCTTGCAGTTGGCATCGAAATATTCCCCAACGGTCCAACATGGAATTTTAACACCCTGAGTTGATAGAAGGGACATTAAGCCAAATAATGACGATTGGTTTAATTTCCTTCGTTTCCATCTGCAGTAGTGGCATTATTAAATCATTTGGCAGGCAAGCAGGGAGGGAGGCAGGCGGACAGACAAAGAGGATAATGTTTTTGCGCCAGGGAAAGATTTTGAGGGAGGATCTGGACAATGGAGGAGAGAAAGCAGAGGACAAGTGGTTTTTCTTGCTTTGGTGCCTGAGCCTCTGCCCAGTCTGTTCAATACCTTATTGTCAGTCCTTGCCAAGGAAAACCATCAGCCTAATCGCGTTGTTTCCCACCCGCAGGCTGCAATGTGTGGTAGTGGTGGTGAATGGAAATTCAGTGTCAAATGGCATATCTTCCTTCAAATGTATCTTGAGATTACAGAATTGTGACTGAAGTGACATCATTTCCATCCCTTTCTGGGAGATGCCTGAAATCTGATGTCTGCAGATGAAGAAGGACAGAGATAATGGAGTTGGAAAGGACCTTGGAGGTCTTCTAGTCCAACCCATTGCTCAAGCAGGAGACCCTCTACCATTCTGGACAAAGGACTGTCCAATCTCTTCTTAAAAACCTCCAGTGAGGGAGCATCCACACTGTCTGGAGGCAAACCATCCCACTGCTTATCTGTTCTCACAGTCAGGAAATTTCTCTTTAGCTCTAGGTCAGGAGTCCCTAACCCCTGGGTCGCGTACTGGTCCATGGTCCATTGGGAACTGGGTCATACAAGCGGTGGGCAAGCATACAAAGCTTCATTTGTGCATGCGTGGGAGCTAGATTGCATGCCATCCCTTCCCCTCCCCCCCATTTTGGCTGCTGGTTCATGGAGCCAGAAAGGTTGGGGACCACTGTTTAGATACTCTGGATAGGGATGTGTGTCAGGTTTCCAAGTGATGAAATCCATTTTTTTTTAAAAAAAGAGCAAAGTCCATCTTCCAAAATGATTTCTTTTATTTGGGTAAGCATCAAATTGACAAAGTCTGTTATAATTCCAGATCTGACACAACTCGGAATGGCACCACATAATATTGGAAATTAGAAACAGCCCCCAACAGTCACATTCCCCAATAGAAGTAAATCAACGTTGCCTGGTGTCATCAATCTCCACCCCCAGGTCCCAGCAGGGTCAGTTTTTGTTCCCACGGGAAGGAGAACCACCTAACCTAAACAACTCTCCCTATCTCCATTCCTCCCACCTTAGGAATGTGGCAAGCCTGGAACCCTTCCCCCCATAACCAGCAAAGAGAAAGAAAGAAAGAAAAGGAATATATAATAAGGATAAATAAAATAGCTACGCATATGTCAATTTCGGGATTGACAGGGTTTGCTCCCCAATATCCCCCTGCACACACACACCTTATACCAAGCCAGGCCACTGGTGAATCCAGCACAGCATCAGTGGTGGGTCTCCAAAACATTGAGGAAAAGATCTGAGAATGATTTGTACTTCAAGTTGTCAGGAAGTAGTGAAGTCCTAAATGGTTTTGTTTTGTTTTTTGCAATCCTACCTACCCCCCCCACCCCCCAAAGTAATTTTACTTGGTTTAAAAGGGAAAGGCAGCACCAAAAGTCATGTATGAGATACATGTACCATTGATAGTTAGAAAAGAATACCTATATTCAGTGGTTTGCAGCCACCCTGGAGAATTGTACAATATCCAGCATGTTCATCCCTTCCTCAAAAAACAAAAAAAATGAAATAGGTCTCTGAGTATTACGATCTTCCTCACATGTCGGTCTGTGGCCGTAATAAAGATTAGATTTGATATCTTTCACTTCCAATAGCAGGTCAAAGAGATCATAGATGTGATAAAACCTTACTTATCTTTTTCTTCTTTTGTAGGAAACTAGGCTGAATTGTATCCGAATAGCTCGGAAAGGTAAATATTCTGATATATTTGTTTATTTGATTTTTTTTTTTAAATCCTGCCTTTAAATTTGGTAAATTCAAGGTGATGCTATCACTTCTTATTTCCGTCATAACAACAATTCTATGAGATGGGTTGGGCTGAGAGAGGCTCACCTAGCTGGCTAAGGAAGGACTAGAACTCCACGGGCTCCTGGTTTCTAGCCTAGTCCCTTCACCACTAGATAAAATTGGCTCTGGTTTTTGAAAGTGGTTGGTCCTTGCCTTCTTTCCAGACTGAGAGAGAGAAAGACTGGCCTAAAATCACCCAGATGATTTTCATGCTTGAGGAAAGACTAGAACTCACAGGCTCCTGGTTTTTAGGCAGACACCTTTACCACTGTCCCCCTCTTCCTCCTCCTCCTTATACTTTGTGAAATCCCTCCTTTTCTAAAAAGTCTTTTGCTGTCTTTTAGATGTGTAGGACGATTGCTTTCATCACACACTCAGTTGCATCTTCCTTTCCTCCCTTCCCCTCCTGAAGTCTGAATTGTACAAAACTCATTTCCCCAGACATAATCCAAAACACCCCAGCAATCATCTGAATGGCTCTTCGGGGACACTGGAAGAACAAAGACTTTTTTGGAGGGTTGTTTTTAGTCTACGTAAAAGGCAGCCTTTGGAGAAATTACTGTACTCTAAAATTCAACTGTTAAAAGAAATCTATAATAACAATCTGCATCAAGGATGAGGCAATGGTTGGGTGATAATTTAGTTTGGTTTAGTTTACTTTATTGTCATTGCACCTCGTAAAACGAAATCAAACACCATCTTCAGTGCACATCATGACCATGAAAATAAACACAAACACACATCTTTCACACTCTGCATATTGAATTGAAAACCCCCAACACCACACCGTGATGCAAGATGAGCAAAACTATGCTGTACATGTTGTAGAGGCAGTATTTTCTGGTGGTGGTTCTCTAAATTTTGGAGAAAATTTTCAACAGGACTGATAGGGCTATGGGGAAAGAGACACCCAAAAGCTGCAGAAAAGAGATTCGGGACTCCCATCGATTTCTAAAATTTTGATTGCTGATTCCTGGTATACAGGGTTCTTTACAGATCACCATATACTATAGGATTAGGTCCATGCCTATAAAGAATTTGCTATCCAAATGCCAGCAGAGAATAAGAGTAGAAAGAGAACAATCTAGACAAAGGGAATGGAGAAATCCCCCAATTCACTGAAAGATGTTGTGATGGGCAATTGGCTTTGTGATACGTAGTTTTAATGTTGGGGTGAAATGTTTTCTCTTTTTCAATCTTATTCTCAGGGTCCTTGAGGATTTGTTTTTTTAAAAAATCTATTTGTTTTATTTTATCACATTTTTGAACAACCCATCGCCCTCACAAATATTCTTTCTGATATTTTCTGGTAGCGGCTTTGGGTTTTCTTGATGGAAGGGGCAGAGGATGCTGCTTGCTGGCCTTTCTCCATATTTCTCAATCTGAACGAAAGGATCCTGTCCTGTAGAATGGAAAGGAAGTTGGGGATGCCAGGAAGGCTGTAGTGTAGACTGAGTGACAGAACTTATATGATGGAAGACAAGATATTTAGGCATATAATCCTTGGTGACATGGATCTGGAGATGTTCCATCTTTATCTCTGCCTATGGGTGCACATCACAGCTGGGACACAATCTGAGGGTACTTATGGGTCCTTATTGAAGAGGAGTCATGGCTACTGTAGGCTGTGCTAGTCACATCTATTCCTGGATTCGGAAGTCTGGCTCATGGTGACTTAGTCACCTTCCATTTGGATTGCTGTAATGTGGTCTACACAAGGGATGCGGTGGCTCAATGGCTAAGACGCTGAGCTTGTGAATCAGAAAGGTCGGCAGTTCGGCGGTTCGAATCCTAGCATAGCGTAGTGGAGTGAGCTCCCGTTACTTGTCCCAGCTTCTGCCAACCTAGCAGTTCGAAAGCATGTAAAAAATGCCAGTAGAAAAATAGGGACCACTTTGGTGGGAAGGTAACAGCGTTCCGTGTGCCTTCAGCGTTTTGTCATGCCAACCACATGACCATGGAGACTTCTTCAGATAGCACTGGCTCTACGGCTTTGTAACAGAGATGAGCACCGCCCCCTAGAGCCAGAAACGACTAGCACGTATGTGTGAGGGGAACCTTTACCGTAACATTTAATGTGCTCTACATGGGGCTGCCCTTGAGGAGTGCATAGCATTTCCTCAGTGTCGTTTGTTAATGTATTGTTCCTTTGATTCAGGATATGAAAATGGTCTATTTTTAGTTTTGTATTCAATCCCACTTTAAAATAAAAACCATTTCTTATCAACATGTATGCAGAAGATGTACCTTAAACACTATTACTATGAACTCAATCTGCTCATCAGAAACTTTGAAACGACACATTCCTCTTGATGATGATTCAACTCATTTAAGGGCATATTATAAGCCAGGGGCAATGGCTGGAGGTTTTGTGTGTCTTGCTTTTAATTGCGAAAGAGACACAGATGGATGATCGCTGCCGAATTTCCACAAGGGCAGTTCAAAGTATCATCAAAACAATGACATCAAGTACTAAATAATTCACCATGTCAATTCAGAAGACCGTTGCCTGTGACTTAATTGAAAACCCAAGAATCTCTAGGCAAATTTTGACTAGGTTGGAAAACATTATGGCTCTTCAAATGTCAACCATACAAGTGATGTATGTATTATCTATGTCAAACATCTCCTTGTCATGCATCAACGATGCATGGTTCAGATTTGGTTGTTGGAGTAAGCAGTCAGTTCTATAAATAAATAAGAAATAATTCAGAATGTGGCACTTTCATCCTTCTTTGGCTCTGAGAACTACAGAAATAACAACTACAGTGTTACAGTGAGGTAATTTGACATTTTGAGATTAGTGTTATGGGAGGACAGTCATGTATATAATTGGAGGATAATTCCAATTTGGTAGTGGCAAAGCATAACTTCTATTATCAACAGAAGTAATCAGAGAAGCATTTGTAACTATATGCAAGTCTAGCAATATACTCAACAGCTGTAACATGGTTAAGAAAATGAAAAGTTGCTATGGAAAGAAGTATCAGTTTTAAAACTGATGACACACTTATTTAATACAGAGCTTCCTTTATCTACAATTTCTTGGGTGGTCTGCAGATTGCATACAACCCTTAAGCATCCTTCTAATGGTTCTAGAGCCCCTTGGATTTTATCACTAAAATCCAGGGGTAAACCTTTAGCTTCAAGAAGACAAAACTGAAAGAGGATGTTTCTTTGAAGGCAAGATGAGCATTCACACGGTTCTCTCGTTCTTTATCTCTCCAGAGAGCAGAACATCAGACTCCAGGGTTTAGTTGAAAGTTTCTTAATTGTCGGAAAGTTTGACGAGGAACAGTTGTGGGTTTTCCTCCAGCAAATGTAATCAAGGAGAAACTGAAAAGCCATCTCTTAAGGAGGGTATAATTCAGGGGTGGGGCTGCTAGGGGTTCGCAGGGGTCCGGGAGAGCCCCTAGCTAAGATTCTGCGCAGTTCGGAGAACCCCCAAATCCCACTCCTGGCTGGCCCCGCCCTCCCTGCCCCTCCCCTCCCAGGAGTCCCCACACGGCCCGTTTGGGATGCAGGTAAGTGCAGGGTGTGCTTCGAGGCTTGGGGAGGGCAAAAAATGAGCCTCCCGGAAGTTCCAGGAGGCCGGAAATGGGCCCGTTTCCGGCTTCCAGAGAGCCTCCGGAGCCCGGGGAGGGCAAAAACAACCCTCCGCTGTGGTGCAAGAGGCCAACTAGGCCATGCCCAACATGCCCACGCCACCCAGCAACCAGGCAGAGAACCCTTTGCTAAATTTTTTGAAGTCCACCCCTGGTATAATTGAAATTCCATTGTGAAGCAGAGCTTGCCTCAATAGCCCAAGTGTCTCTTACTAATCCTAGTTAAGCGATAAGAATTCCCCATTTTCATTTTTATGTATTTTTATTTTATTTAAACTGATAAGAACACCATCACTCCGTAAAGCTCCATGAATAATCTCTTATTTTCAGGTTCTTCTTGACCCACCTGTTTGCTGTTTATCCCCTACAGCTGCCTGTAAAGAAAGCAAGCGTCCTTTGGAAGTTTCCCAGCACTCGGAGGAGATGGGCCTCATCCTGGGCATCTGTGCTGGAGGACTGGTGGTATTGATCATCCTCCTTGGGGCCATCATCGTTGTCATTCGGAAAGGGTAAGGAAGCATGTTGAGGACTTTGTTCTCGCTCTCATGCAGGCAGCTTCTCTCCCTTTCCAACGAACCTCTCTCTCTTCGCAGCCAAATCTGACTCGGCTTCCTCTTAGAGATGAGCAGGTCAGTCTAATGCAGTGGCCCCCAACCTTTTTTGAACCAGGGACCGGTTTCACGATTATTTATTCTTCCACGGACCGGTACCTGAGTAACGCGACACTCCACCGCCATCGGGACGGCTCTTCGTTCTTCGCCGCCCCCCCCTTCGACGAAACTAAGGCGCGAGCACCCAAACGCCGCTTTCCAACCGAAAACCCTGAAGCAACCAAAAAACCGGAAGCGCCGTCAAAACAAGATGGCGGCGCCCAAGCTTTGCGGCCCAGTAAAAAATGATCCACGGCCCGGTACCGGTCTGGGGACCGGTGGTTGGGGACCCCTGGTCTAATGGAAGAAGGTATTTACCTCAGGGAAGAGGAAATCAGGCAAAGGTAGTATTCAGCTGGTTTGGACCAGTTCTGGCGGACTGGTAGTGAAAATTTTGAGTAATTCAGAGAACTGGCAAATACCCACCTCTGGCTGGCCCCGCCCACCCAACCCCGCCTTTCCCTGTCCTATATTCCTTTGTTTTTTAACTCAGCTGATTCGTGCAGCAGAACAGATTGCTGCTCCTCAGCTGAACTAAAAAAAACAGCTTACCTCACCAGCGCTGACACAGAGGGCGGTTTTTGAGTGCTGCGCATGCAAAGCGCAAAGCGCTCTTCTCATAGAACAGGTCAGGAAAAAATGTGGAATCCCACCACTGCAATCAGGTCATCTATAGGGACTTGGGCAAATTTTCTTAGTAGATCTGTGCCATGCTTCGGATTGAACTCGGAAGAGAGGCTGTGGAATCTGAGGAACACGAACCCAGCACTCTGTATGCAACACTTTAGAGGCGCCGCGTGATTATGGAAGCAGATACGGCTGCTTTACAATATCCCAGGAAGGTGGCTGTGTTGGTGTTTCCAGGGGTTTTCAACGTAATTCTTCTGAATTTGATGTGGGGCATTGCATAGCCCTACATTTTAATACAATTTAATAGTACATTCGCTTCATTCTTGCTAGATTCTTTATTCTTACTTTAAGAAGAGACTGGACAATCATTTGTCTGAATTGGTATAGGGTTTCCTGTTTGACCAGGGGGGGTGGACTAGAAGACCTCCAAGGTCCCTTTCAACTCTGTTATTCTGTTTGATCAGAGCAGGGCTTATTTGTCACAGCATGAAAGTATTTCACTGTTTCTTGAAGACATGTCCTCATAACATAACCTTTATCTCAATGGCAGCTTGTTATTATTCAAGCAGGCTGAAGCTGGTTTAAAGCTGTTCCAGGGTGAAAGTGTGTTTTCTTCACTCTTATGGCAAAATCTCTCTCATACGCACATTTGAAGGTCCATGGAGGTCTGGCTATATTCTTTTCTGTTCTTCCTTTCGTATCTTTAATGCAATTTTTAATCCTGCTCTAATTGAACCTTTCTCTTTCCAGCAGCCATTTCATGCATCTTAAGACATTTTTCATTCTTCCTGCTGCTTTGAAAAGCCACTTCTGAGGTCTTGCCATTTTTTTCAGGAGAAATTATTTTTTTTAAATTCCCCCAAAAGCATTCAACAGATTAGATCCTTAGTTTTGTTTAACGCCCAAAGTGTCTAAGTGATTTTTTTTTGCAGCATTTAAAAAAAATTAAAAGCTTGCCTTGATAATACCGGTCTCCAGTGATTGGAGAGAGCTGCTTGCTTTTTCATATCAGTTTCTCACAAACATTGGAGAGGTGAAAGAGAAATAGGGCTGCTGTTACCAAGATAGGCTTTTAAATTATTCTTTTTAAATGCTAGTATTCAATGGCCCACCAAGATTTCCTCTGTGGTTCAAATCCAAAATCAGATCCCAAAATACATCTAGGTAGAATTATTTTAAATTTCTACCTTCAGAATTATAGTCAGTGGACTATGGCAGAATATAAATGCAAACTGTTTAATAATGTTACTTGATAGGGAATAACCATTGTTAAAGATATAGCACGGTGGTGGCCAACCTCAGCAACTGTAAGATACATGAACTTCAAGTCCCAGAGTTCTGCAGCCAGAATGGTAACTGGGGAATTCTGGGACTTGCAGTTCACATATCTTAAAGTTGCTGAGGTCAAGAAACACTACTATAGGGTATCAGGGGTGTCAAGCCCGCGGGTCAGATCTGGCCTATGGGGTGCTTAGATCTGGCCTGTGGGGCCTCCCTGGAAACAGAAGGAGTGGCCCATGGTGCCTCTGCCAGCAAAAATGGAGCTTGGGAGAGCCGTGCACGGCCCTCTCAAGCTCTGTTTTCGGCTGTGATGGCCTCCTGCAGCCCTCTGTCAGCAAAAATGGAGGTCAGCAGGGCCGTGTGCACACTTTGCAAGCTCATTTTTGCTGGGAGAGTGCTCGGGCCATCCCAGGCACCCTTGACAGGAGTGACATCAAGCTGGCCATGCCCCCCGGCCTCCCTAAGGTCAAATACAACCCTGATGCAGCTATTAATGAACTTGAGTTTGACACCCTGGCCTATACACTTAACAGCTCATTTAGAGGCAGAGCTGTAAAGACTAGACTACCAGAACTAAAGACTGGGTGGGAAAGTATTTTTAATCAGTGAAAATAAAGTGAGGCTGAGCCCTAAATGGAATGGGATGATTGGGAAAATTCTCTTTTTCATAGAGGAAGCTGATTTGGACATACTTCCAAATTTGCCAGATTTACAGGGCATTAAAAACTTGATGCCTTGTTCAAGAATGTTCATTTGTTGTGTTTCTATTCTGTTTTTGTTTCAATTGTTAGCTTCCTAGAGTCGTGTGTATCCCATGGGTGGCCATATAAATTGAATGAATGAATGATGAATGAATGCTTCTTTCTCATTTTCCATGAAAAGGTAGGAATTGTGGTATTATTGTTGTAATACCTCCCCTGTACTACAACAGTTCTCCGCAATTCCTACCTCCTCGTAACCACAGGTCCTCTTTCAAAGCATATGAGTAAATTCCCTCTCTTCCCTCCTATTTTCCCCGAACCATACAATCACAAACAGATACACAAATCAAGTAAGCATTGTCTCCCTCACTCTTAATCTTTCCCCCCATCTCTTCCATGCTTATACTCCTGCCTCTCTCCTTGTTGTTTTGCTCCTTTTCATACTCTATGAGTCATTTTATGTCAGGAGTAAAAGATGAGGTCCACACATGAAGGCCCAATTAAACTGATGTATTTCTAGTCATGCTTATGTACAAGAATTTCCCCAAAGTTTTCACCTACTTGGGGTCAGATAAGGATCAAGGAAATTTAAGAGGGTTGAATTTAGTCCACTTGTGGCTATGTAGGGATTCTAGGCTAATGCCTCTTTTAACTCTCCCACTCCTTCCCCTACATTTTATCTTCAGCCTCTTTTTACCTGACCAACAAGTCAAGCTGCCCCAGTTGTAAATCTCCTGGGATTGCAAGCCCTAGAATTTCTAACAAGAAAGGCTAAACTTAAGTACTGATGGAAGCATTCCAGAAATTAAATTGGGGCTGGGTGGAGCTGCCATCCTGCTGATGTCAAAAGTGGCTTAGAATGGAAAAGGGGCACATTGGATTATCCCATGGAACAGATATTGTTGTGTTTAACTAATCAATGGATTTAACCAGCTTTATTTTCAATTGCCATTTGGTGATCACTCTTTTTCTTTCACTATACATCTTCATCAGTATGCCAAGTTCCATCTCTGGTGTGTTGTAGAATTTCAACTTTTTTTTTTTTTAATTGTGGAGGCATGTTGCAGGATTGTCACTCCCAGCTAGTAATTTAGAATCAAATGTGATGTAGCGTATTATTTTATGCCGGTTTTTAATAAGGTCAGTTCTCGTGCATTCATTCAAGCAGGAGCAACAGCAGCCTAGATTGGCAAAGGGAGAGACTCAGTGGCATACAGTATTTGGCATGTAAACGGTCTTGGGATCAGTACTTGGAAATGCTAGATTGTGTTGGATAGTCTGATATCATATCGGTCAACTTAGAGGTTCCATTGTTCTGATTTGCCTCTAAGGCAATATTTGTGATGTGCACTAGTGTTGAACAAGAAGTTCTTTTGTAGCAAGCTCTCCATTCTGATGAAAAAAGAAATTTCCTTTTAAACAACAGGACAGGGACAGTAGGCACGTTGGTGCGCTTATGCACGCCCCTACAGACCTCTTAGGAAAGGGGTGAGGTCAATAATAGACAGTCTAAGGTTAAAGTTTTTGGGGTTTGGGGAAGAAACCACAGAGTCAGATAGAGTATTCGAGACATTGACCACTCTGTTGCTGAAGTCGTATTTCCTGCAATCAAGTTTGGTGCAGTTAACCTTGAGTTTGTATCTATTGTGTGCTCTTGTGTTGTTATGGTTGAAGCTGAAGTATTCATTGACAGGTAAGTCATTGCAATGTATGATTTTATATACCATACTTAGATCAGAACAAAGACTGCGTAATTCAAGGTTTTCTAGGTCTAAAATTTCAAGTCTGGTGGCATAAGGTATTCTACAATGAGTAGAGGAGTGGAGAACTCTTCTTGTGAAATATTTCTGGACTTTCTCAACTATGCTAATATCAGATACGTAGTGCGGGTTCCAGACTGATGAGCTGTATTCGAGTATTGGTCTAGCAAATGTTTTGTATGCTCTAGTTAGTAGTGTGATATTACCTATTGTTTCTTTTATTTTTCTTATATGTACCCATTTCATGTATTCATAACTATGTATATACTTATACCTATTATCTTGTAAGTGATGGACAAATCAAAATAAATAAATAAATACATTTTAAAAAATAACTTCAGAGGGGGAAAAAAGGAATCTCAGAGAAATCCTCATGGAGTTCTTGCATTTATTTCAGTAGGAGATTGCTAAGGGGTAAGGAAGGCAAACTTTTTTTTACAGTCTTTCCTGTATAGAAATCTACTGCTTCTATGGCTCTCTCTCTTTT